ATTTTTCAAATAGTTCCCACTCCCACCATCCATATTAATTCATGTTGGAGTTTGGTGTCTCTTTCCATTAGATTTCTCCAATAAAATGGTGACACTGTAATTGTGGTTGGCAACCCATTTGTTTAAAGGAGTTCCTGGTTTACATGTTTAGTCAGTTTACTTGAGACATGTTGAATTTTTTTTTTTTTTCCCATGGAATAACTTAGAGAAAAACTCTACTGAGCAGGAAAGGTTCTTACATGCTGTCATTCTGAACTGTCATCTGAAGAGTTTGCTCTTAACAACTAGGTAAAATGCTTTCTTATTTTCATGCTAAGGTATGCTCTATCAGTCTTATGGGGCATGTTTAAGTACAGAGCTAAGAAGTAAATGCCTGCAGGATCACCCCATAATTCCTGATTAATCACTCTGAGTGAGTGATTGTTTGTGGGGTTTTGCTGAAGAGAAAAGGGATGATAATTAGCTACTGCTCTTTGAAAAAACCCACTTGATTATGTTTTTTATATGCTAAGTGATGATATAAAATATCTGGACATTTCAAAGTGGATCCATAAGGGTAGATTTATGATCCTGCACAGGCAACTCACTATTGGGTTTGGATCTTCATCCTCTTTCTTTCTAGCAGAGAAAAATGCAACTATAGCTTTAAATATAATGAACTGTATTTTTAACACAAGTTCATGGTTAGGATCTGGTTATCTATTGTGTACTAATACACCTACTTTAATACAGAGAGTGAGAGAGATTGTGTGTGTCTGTTGTGTTTAATTTTGTGTACCAGGGGACTAGATAATGAAGTGATGTGCTTCATCTACAGATCTTTTGGAAAATTTCTCTAGAAAGGCAGTGTTTCATTACTGAGGCTGACTAGCCTGCATGCTATGGCAACCACAACTGTTTTTTAGTGATAATAATAACAACTCATTTAGCAATGAGGAAAAACTAAACAAAAAACCAAGCACCCTACAGCAATTTGAAGTGAAGCAACAGAGAAAGAAATCAGCAACCGTAACCATCTGCAAGCCATGTTTCAAAACACTAACCTTATACTTCTTTGGAGATAAATCAGCTTTATTTGGAATATTTCTTAAGTGCTAATCAAGTGAATGAATTAAATGGCTTTGTGTTAGATCTTGAGTCTACTCACATCTCCTGATTTTTGGCTGTTGTAGTCTTCCCTTCATCTGCAAACAATCACAGGTGACAATGTAAAAATAGAAACATCCTAAGAGATTTTTAAGATCCTGTGTTATTCTTATGGCTATCTTCTTTCATTTCCATCCATCTGCTCATCTTTCTTTAGAACTGGATTAAGGAGCTGAATCTTGTGCTGCTTTCTTTTGGGAACAGCCGTTTCTGATCAGACCTTTTCCTTAGTGGGTTTCCTGCTGCCCCTTATTTGGTGGCCTTTCTGTCTTTCTCTGGCTTTTTTGGCAGTGCCCTCTCTGAGACTAGTCACGCTTCCAGTAACTTTCCTCTGAGCTTTGCCCTACTTTGTTTTGTTGGTAAACTAAACTATTGCAGGTTGTACGTTGGTTTTAGCAAGTTTTGCAGTGGTCTGGGAATGTTATGCCTTTTCTTTTAATCTTTATATATGCTGGTTTGTTCTTGTCTAACCAGTTCAGTTTCTGTTCCAGTTTACCTTCCCAGATTTTACCAGACTTTCAGAGCTCAAATCCAGTTGTTTCGTTGTTGTTTATTTTTTATTTAAGTTTTGTAAATACATGTTTAGCATTTTAAATCAGTGTGATTATATAATAGGTTTTAGCACAAGCTTAACTTAGAGGCTACCTTAAAAAAAACAACTGTGGCTGTATTTTTTAGATCTTGCACATATTCCTGCTTTAATCATTCCAGTAGCCAGAAGGTTTCTGGCTACATTTGTAAGCATTTAATCAACTTGTTTTGCTAATTGTTTATACTGTAATTTGTTGTTAGCATCTGGTTTTATTTGAGTTGTCTAGATATTTTTCCAGGCTTCTGTCTGTCAGTCTCTTCAGGAGCTATTTCTGCTTTAATCCCTTCCTGAAAACTGGTAAACAGTATTAAAATGATCCGCATTTTTAATACATAGTTACGCTATATATAATGGAGCGGATTTAAGAACTTTCCTTACCATACCCACAAAGCTCTAGTTTTGTTTTTATTCCCAGTTTATTTTAATCTCTGTCCTGTGCAGTATGGTCATGCTAAAAATGTCTTCATTAGGTTGCCATTGATCTACAGCAGTGCATTTGGGCAGGCTGTGTCTGAGCCCTGTAATAACTTTGCTTTAATTAAGTTAAGTAAGTATATCGGAAAATTTAAAAAGTCAGTTAATTTCTAATATTTTTTTCATGTGTTCCTTTTCTAGGACTCTCAGATAACTGCATTGTTTTATCTAGTTACTTTTATTTAGCTTTGCCTGTTAATTTTAAACTGGCTTTGTTATCCACTTGAAAATTTTTTTTGAAATTCCAAGCTTTGTACTTAATACATATTTTGTGACTGACTGAAGCCCATATTTGCAGAACTACCATTCAAGAACTTTTGAAGAATTTTTAAATCAAATTGTTGTATAAAAAACCTCAGCTAATTTGTGTAACAGCATTTTAATGGAATATTAGGTTGGAAGAAAAATTGATTTGGCATCTCTGCTTGGTAGTTTAAAACCAACCAGACACACTGGCTAGCCTCGCTCCTTCATTTTGTTTTCTAGCCTTGTAAACATTTCCACATTCCATCTGTGATGTCTAGTCCATGCATGAATAAAATATGAAGTAATTGAATACCACATAATATGTCAGGGGGTTGCTGTTTGTTCTCAGACTTGAAACTTTTTAAGATCCCATGCTGAAAGCTCTTGGGTTTTTGGTACTCATTCAGGGCCCTGCCAATGAGGCTGTGGGCTAGAAACATGTCTCATTCTCTGTAATGTGGAAGAAACCATCTTGATATTGTACTGTTATTTATATCATGACTGTATTCTTCATGAGGATGCTGAGGAGGCAAGAGGGGTTAGCTCTCAGTTCTCTTCTCAGATTTGGAATCACAGAGAGGGTGCAGAGCCCACAGGCCATCCCAGGTATCATCCTCATGGGAGCCTGCACCCAGCAAGCAGCTGTAATTGGATCACAGGCAACTGGAAGTCTCTGTAGTGCTTTACCCCAAGACTGGTAACCTTTCAGGATGCAGGTTACACCCCAGATGAAGGGATAAAGGCAATATCTTGGTTGCTTTGTGTCCCTATCAGTTCAAACCCCTGTGCCGACCCAGCAGGTTGGGATCACAAGGCCATGAGGGTTTACATACTCTGTGTGTGTGTGTGTTTGAAGCCCTGTTATTTGCTCTGCATTTGGCAGATTGCAAAGTTCTAGTTGTGCAACCACGTACTTGTGCCAGGATGAAAAGTTTCTGGGCCTGTGTTTCAGTCTGGTGAAGGATAACTCTCAAATGTGCTGGTCTGTGCTGTAGTGTTTCCAGGAGCATTCAGTGTCTGTGACAAAATGACAGTGTGACACAGTAGTGGCATAAACTCACCCTTGCACCTTGCTGTCTTTGTCCTAACTCCTCCATCCACATGTAAATAAAGATTACAACTGTACCTTAGCCGTTATAGCTGTTAGCATGCAGCCCATACTCAAAATTTTATCTAAATAGGTAACATCTAGTTCCAACCCTGACTTTTGTTTTCGTGGTTAAATAATGAAAGAATACAGTTTAAATCAGTGTTTGACTAGACTTTACTAAACTTGCTTTTCCTAAATTAGAACTCAGTGCTTCTGACAGTGAAAAATGGACACCAAAACAGCTTATATCTGTTATTTTAAATAGCCTGACAGTTAATATATATTCTATATTAATGTGTGAATGAGATGTGAATATTAAAAAAGGTATCACAACAAATAATTTGTTTTCTTTATCTGTAGTTCTTTCTTCTGAGGAAAAAGGACACCACCGTTCCAGATGATGACCTGTGTTTTGTCAATTAAATTGCTGTATGTTTTCTTGCTGAAATAATTATTAGGCAAGCTTTCCTGAACATGTTTGTGACTTGCATTTTCCCTTTTCTCCCTCCTTGATTACAGTTCCCTGGCAGAGACCAGATTGCTCAGCAGACTACCAGACATTAGAAAACCAAATTCAGATATATCAAACTATGATCCCACATATGAAAATGACAGACTGTAGTAAACATGCATGAGTTGGTTTTAGTTTTTGAAATACCCATTTTTCCCAGCTTGCATTTGTATCCAGGCATATGTTCAATATGTTGCCATAGGATATTTAAGTAAATAGTTTCAGTAATAACTTTCCATGAGGATAATATCTTCACTTTCCATTGTCATGTCAAAAAGTATTTTTAGGTATATGTATATATTTGCAAGTTCCTGCTTGGCTCTTTGGTTTCATTTTAGTCCGTGAACTGTACAAACTTCTACTTGGAAAATGAGGAGTATGGGATGCATACAGGATATAATGGGGAATTGTGGTTTGTAGAGAACAGTCTCTGGAGTCACCTTACAGCTCAGTTTTATTGTGTGCTGAAGCCATCTGTGTGACTTGCTGTTACCAATATTGTTTGGACAGCCCTAAATCAAGTCCTGAATGGGTCAGATTGTGGAAGGCAAGTTTATACTGGTATCCTTCAGGTTAAACCAACTGATGTCCAGCCTTTCTTTTTTTTTTTTCCTGGCATAAAAAGTATTAGCAAGAGGTAAGTTTGTGCTAGCTGTCCTTGTTTCACGAAGATCTATCTTCTGCAAACAGGCTTGTGTTTACAGAAACCAAAGTGAAAATAGCATGTGAACAGCAAAAACCAACTACGGTCAAAATAGTTGTGCATTTGCATAACCAAGTGGCATTTAAAGGGCTGGCCAGCTCACTTGGGTACAGTTTACTACAAGCCTTTCTTGTTGTCCTCTTCAGGCATCTCTCAAAACTGGAAGTAAAAGGCTCTGATTCTGAATAGCTCTGTTTACACATAGCAGTAGAAAACAAGTTTAACTGTCTTGTTACAGTTTTTGATAAATGGACATTGACATGGACTACGAAAGACCCAACGTTGAAACTATCAAGTGTGTGGTGGTTGGAGATAATGCAGTGGGAAAGACCCGTCTGATCTGTGCAAGAGCCTGCAACACAACCTTGACTCAGTATCAGCTGCTGGCAACTCACGTTCCAACTGTCTGGGCCATTGATCAGTACCGTGTCTGCCAAGAGGTAAGGACTGCAGGTGTACCCAGTGTGGAGCACATGCTGTGAGGTGGGACTGTTATTTATTGGCAAGCCTTGCTCTGTCAGGATGCAGCAATGAGCTCACAAGTATTTTATGAGTGATCTCTACTGCAGCCATGGTCTGATACACCTCTCATTCTAAAGTAAATTTTTTATCAAACCTATTTTTAGGAAGGTGCATATTCTGCCTGTTTTATGAAACACTGCATTTGGTGAAAACTACGTGTGATAGACTCTTGGCCTGGTGTGCTTTGGGCCTTCTTATGGGGCTAATTAGAAATGTGCTTGTTTGATGGAGGGAAAGAGAACGTTATGTGTGCTCTGTTCTAGGTCCTTGAACGCTCAAGAGATGTTGTGGATGAAGTGAGTGTTTCTCTCAGGCTGTGGGATACATTTGGGGACCACCACAAAGACAGGCGCTTTGCTTATGGAAGGTAAACTGATCCGAGCAATATTTTAAGAAGTACTTGCATTAAAATTTTAGGGCGGAAATAAATTGCAAATCTGACTTTTGAAAAGGAAGGACTTAAAAACAATCATGGGTATTCATGTTCCTGCCCACTGCAAAGAGGATTATCCTCTGCAAGGATTAAAAAGATATAAATATTTAAAAAGCAGCATAGTTTTACTACACTGTGTTTCCTTGAACAACCTGCTAAGCTCTGTCAACAACTGTTGTCCTATTTTGAATTTTAAAGAACATTCCCCAAAATAAGGTAGTAGTTTTACAAAATTGAACATCAGCATTCGCTGCCTGAATAAGCAGTGCATGATAGAATTGCATAACAAACAAGTAACAAGGAGAGATGTTGGGGAGTATCACTCTTACACAATGAGATACTCATTTTATTAAACCCTGTGATGTTGAATGGGCAGAAAGCCTCTTGAGAGCAGAGCTAATTTCAGGAAAGGTGAGGCTTTTCCATATTTTCTTAATTAAAGCTGAGGAAAAGATATTTATAGAAGAAAAATCAAGTGTCTGTTGATGAATGGATTAACCCTGGAAATTCAAAAAAAAAAAAAAAAAAAAGAAAAAGAAAACTAATGAAATCTAGATTTTTCCAGCATTATTTATATATCTATAATTTTTGTATTATATATATAATACAAAATATATATAAATTATTATATGTAATACTATATATATAATACTATATATATAATAATTTATATATATAATTTTTATGTGAAAAATATATATAGTGTGTGTAAGTTCAGCATCATTTCAACAAGGACCATAGCCAATGATAGTCTTTCTGGTTTGTTTATTTAGATCTGGCTTTGTGGCAGTACAGGCAGCAGAACAGCCATATTAGGCATACGCTGGGCTGAAGAGGAGTTTTGGACATACATTTTCATAACTGACATTTGGGGGGTGAGGTCTCAGTCCTCACACATTCTTTCACCTTGTTGAACTTTTTCATAACCTTTTCATACCTGCTTCCATCACTGCAGGTCATCAGACTTTCACAGATAGATACTTACTTTTTTTTTCCAGCTGGGAACACTCTTTGTAGAGTGTCGGTCCCAGCTTTGTGTTCCATGTTGCCAAAGCGTACTGTCTTGCTGTTTTTCTTCTCTCTCTGCTACCTGGTGACACAAGTGACTTTGAAGGATGATGCTCTTTTTTATTCTCTGCCCCTTAGAACTGCTCCAGAGGGTTCCGTAGGTTGAATCCACCCATTAAATTTTCACACTGTAGAACTCTATATGATGGTTTGTGCAAACCCTCCTTTGTGTACAGCACTGTGGCAGTTGATTTTTCACTAAGCCATGAATTACCTGGAATGTTCTGTGAGAAGCTGAAGTAATAACACATCTGGGCTACACAGCCTGTAGTATTTGTAATCAGCTTTGTCAGCGAAGTTACTGACTTTAAGGCAATATTGACCTTAATATTTAGTGAGACTGTGAATAGATACTGTTTTACCTTTTGGCAGCATATGGAGCCTGCATTGATAACTTTGGAGGCAACTTAATGTTTCCACTAACTGTTCCACTTTGATGTGGCCTCCCGATATTCTGCAACAGATACTGTGTCACTGAGAAGATTACTGGAGATTAGGAGAGCAGAATCAGGCATGTTCTGAACTCTGATCCCACGTTTACTGACAGGACTGGAAAGGGAGGAAACAACATGCTTAGAGTCTAATCCTGCAAACTCCAAGGAGGACGTGAATAACTTGAGATCTCATGGATTAAGCATATAAACACAGCAATTCATTTGTGATGTTGGCAGAACTGAACTTGTGTAGAATGAGGTTTTCTATACCCTAATTAATTTATAAGGCTGTTCTGGTTTTCCTGCAAGTTTGTTAATGAAGAAAATGACTGAAAACTCTAAAGAAACTACAAATAGAATTTCAGTTGTAAAATTTGGTGATTGTAAGCAGTGATAGGTACTTTGTTTTGAAATGCATTAATGCTGCATTTTAAACAAATTGTTCAGTATTTTATGTGGTTTAGCATTTGAAAAAGAGTTTATCAATGTTGAATGTTCACATTTATAGGAATTTATTTGAAATTGTCTCTGGACATTGAACTACAGTTTAATCAAATCTTGCAATACAGTGAAAGGTGCATTTTATGCCCAACTGCTCAAGATTACACCTACAAGTGCCCCATGTTTTGTTGTCTGAAGGATCACGCAATAATATTATCCTTTGGTTCCATTAAAAAAATTTTATGCATATGCCCCTTATGCAGGGCAAGGTTTATTTCAGCAAACAGTCAAGCAAGACCTCTAATTGTCCTAAACGTGGTGTAAGGAGAACCAGCAGGTCATTAATTCACCTGCTGCTCATTGGAAAAGTTTGCTTCATGCAGCTTTAGAAAGTTACATAAATAGATTATGCTATAGATGACAGGTGAACAGTTAATAGGACTTGGAGCAAAGATAAATCCTTCTTAACTCTTTATTTTTCACGGATAGAAACATTAGAATGACAAAAGGAATCTGTTTTCCACTATTTTCCTATGACAGAGAGAAACATTTACATTTCACTGAGGATGGAATCGTTAAAGTTTCTACTGCCATCCTTTAAAATGCGAGTGTGCAGAGTGAGATCAGCTTGCCTTTTGCTGTGTGGTGTTTGCTTTAATAACGACAGTCCTCCAGGAGCTTTGGGAAACAGTTCCTGACAGCTTAAGGGAGTGAGGGGGATGTGGCTGGAGAGACTTAACAGCATGACTTCCCCCACCCCCATAAACTGAAGTGTGTGCTTTAGTTTTGGAAGTATCCAGTTCAGTTTAGGCTGTGAGGCCAAACAGTCATTTATTGACGTTCTCCCATAGGGCTTTTATTTGGTGCAAAATCACTCCAAAACCTTGTAAAATGATAATGTCTTTGTTATGATTAATGTATTGATTTCTGGCTCCCAGTCACCTCTGTGTTTATTAACAGTCTCATCTCAGTGCTATGTAATTGTATTGTCTAAGTCTGCAGATAAGGTGTGAACTTCATTTGAAGCCCAAGTTGTTATTCTGTAGCAGTTTCTCTGGGAGGCATGTGTAAAGACAAGAAAACATCTTAATTTACATTTCAACTTGTCAGGATTCACTATCCTCCATCCTCCTGTCCAATCTGGTTTTGAATGAAAGTGTCAATGTATCAACATGTTCAAAATAATTCTAAAAGCTGGCTTGCACTTTTTTTTTTTTTTGCCTTTTGCATCCTTTTATTTTTATTTTTTTTCCAGGTAAAAGTGTTTGGCTAATTTGATGAATTGCCTATGTATCCTGGGGATTTTTTCCATGCAGCTCTGGTATATGTAAACATGAGCACAAATCTGCAAAGAGTTAATTCAGACTCAATCAAATATTTATTCTCAATACCGTGGATGGGATTCATCAGCTAATTCAGGCAGGATGATTTATTTACTTGCAACTTAAATAGGAGCTGTAGACCAAACAAAATCTGTTCCTACAGCATGGACAGAAAACAGCTTTATCCTCATGACTTAGAAATGTGAGTGAGTCTTGCTGTAAGACTGCTGACAGAGCCTCTTAAAATATGTTTAGAGTATTTCCTCTGCTGTGAATGGTTTTCATAAGCCTTGTGGATGTTGTATGTACACAGAGGAACACATGCATCCCACTTCTTCTGTGTGATTACAAGTCCCTTAACCGGTTACTTCAGTGTAATTGAATCCCTAAAAACAGACCTTCTGAATGCTGCTGAAAAAGGTCCATGAGAACAGGGGTTTATCACTGATGTTTGAAGATTTCCACCAATCTCTTTGAGGTTGTTTTGTTTTATGTTTATTTTTCTTAAAGGACAATAATGATATTTCTATTTAAAAAAAAAAAAAAACAAACCAAAAAAGAATCCAGCAAGACAAAACCAAAAAAATAACCAGGCAGCTTTGGTGTAAAATGGTATTTGCATTCAGCGAGTTCAGTGAGATTAGGGACTTCACAGAGTTACTGGGTTTGTCTTCAGTTAGATCAGTGCCTCTGTCACACAGCACCTGTGCCTAAGCTGAGAATGAATGGGCCAGCAACTCCCTTCCTTGAACCAGAGAAGGTCTGAGGTTTCAGAAATGCTTTGTGAATGAAAGGCCACACTTTCACCTCCAGTTTTGCTGTCCTTGTTTTTATAATTATCCACCTTCCACGTGCCCCACAAGCTATGTCATGGGTTGGAAGGGATCGTCAGAGATGTGTCTTTACAGCAGCAGGACTTAACAGACACAGAACAGTCTTTTGCTTTGTTAGCAAAGGGTCAGCTGATGGGAATCCAGAGTATTTTCAGTTCTCTTTCACCTTGGCTGCTTCCTTTTGCTGTTTTGCTGCCACAAAAAGACTGATATGCAGGATCTTCAAATCATCTTCAACTACCCAAATTTGTGAACCTCCCCATCTATTTTTGCAGTGGTTAATAAGCTACTCAGGTTCTTCATCAAGTCATCCTGAAGATCTCCTGAAAAAAGCCATTTTTTTATATATTTAGGGGTTTTTTTCATTTCAGTATGACTTAGGCTCAAGACAGACTAGAATAAGCAGAGAGGTTCACAGAAACAGCTTTCTCAATTAACTTTATTCTGATGTGTGTGTATGCACTAGAATTTTCTTCTTCCATTATCTGCATTAACATTTGATGCTTTTTCACTCAATTAATGGGATAGTATATTTTTATATACTCAAACCAGTGAAATTAATGCAGATCTACTTTTCTTTGCTGCATCCCATCGTGGTTCCATACTGTGAGTAGAAAGAGGTTGTTATGGAATTTCTGTTATGAATCCTTCGTTCTTTAAAAAGGTGTGTGCCTGAAGACTGTTGGTGGGGCCTGAGGCTCCACTCGATGTGTTTGTAGTCTCTCTGTAGGAGGACACCTCTAATTGCTTTAAACCTCCCTTGACTGGAGTGAAAAAGTGTCAATTTTTATTTGTAGTATAGCATCACTTTCCATTTTGCTCTCCAAAATCAAGGG